GAGTAAACATCTGCTGGGGTAGGATTCAATGCAGCATGTAAACTGGTGTCATGCTTCTCTGTCAGCTGTTTCTCTATTTGTATATTCATCCACCATCCATCCATCTCATTTATCTGTCTCTCTATCTGACTCTAACCGTTTATCTATCTGTATCTGTTTGTCCACACGCCTTATCTGTCTGTCTATCTGTCTACCTTATCTATTTGTTGACATTTCTTTCAATCCTTTTGTTGATCTGTCGATGAATTGACAGCTCGATCTACCATCGTGTACTCAGGATTTACGATCGCTGCGGGGATTGCAGGTATTTGGAATAAATGGAAGTGGGTCAAAACCTTGTGCCCCTCGCGAACATCAAAATAGCTGGTAAATGGTATCTATAGGTATTGATAAATTGCTATGATGCTTTGGCCGTCTACCTGTTTTTCCACTGAAGCCTTCGCCTGACAGTGACGTATGGCGACAGTAGATGTTTGGGCAATATCAAACAGTGTTGAAGTATGATAGTCAGCAACGACATGCAAGGAGGATGATTCGTTAAACACACCGGAAGCTTCGTACTCGTATGACAAGCCCAGCTCTCCTTACTTTGGACAAGGCAACAACGGCAGCTGGTAAATGTTTACCCTCTGGTTGTCAGTCACCTGGCGGATGGAAAATCCACCATTGACAGCTGATTTTCCCAGCGAACTAAACCTCTAGAGGGGATTTTACAGCTTGTCGTTTTTGATGACACCGGAGGGTAAATCCGATTCATATCCTTATTTTTCTTGGGTAAATTCCATGAACATCACCATAGTTTCCTTTGAAACTCCATTGAGTCCCACAAGAAGCACCATAAAATCCTATGAAACTCCTCTTAAATCCTATTGAATCCCGGTAAATTCTGTGAAACTTTCCATGGTTTATAGTAGATATATAGATAACTACAACTGGGGGAGCCCCATCCTGTATTAAATCCCATTAAATTCCCGTTGAAACCATCCCATGAAACCATCGACTCTGAATCGCAGGAGGCATGACGAAGGCGGCGTTCCACTGAACTGAGGTGCAAGATGCCATGTGCACTACGATACTTGTGAATTCTACTTATATTATTTTATATTTATATCGTACTATATAAAATCCATACCTATATTATATATATATATATATTATATTATATTATATTATATTATAATTATATTATATTATATTGTATTATATTATTAAACTAGATAACATAATACACATATATACACCAGACCTGGTACCCAAGGAAATGCCGACTTACTGAGTATACTCAAATTGTTTGGGGGCGGACCCCCTACACGGAAGCCAAGCGGCTCTTGATTTGAAGATTGATCGAAAACATGGTGGGGAAACCACGTCACCGGCAAGTATCCAGAACAAGAGCCAATCTGTGCATATACAGGACACAAAGATATGTAAACCGATATGAACATTATGTATATATATATATGTAAATATATGTATATATATATATTATACTGTGGTGTTTTTATCATAGGTGAATAGTTGTTATAGGGTTATACATAATATATATATATATACTATGCTATCGGGCCACCCCCACATATTTACATATATATATATTATGTAATTATAGTATATATAATATGTTATCCGGGTCACCCCCTTATGTTTACATATGTATATATATATACTATCTTATCGGGTCACCCACACATACACACATATATATATATATACTTTAAACCCCACAACGCTTCCACTCAGCTATCACAGCAGCAACAGCCGGATTTTTTCAAAAATTACCCATTTTGACAGAATTACCCATTCACTACCGGTAGCGAGCGTTCTAATTGCTCCCCATCATCCCAATTCTTGACAGAATTCCCCATTCACTACCGGTAGCGAGCGTTCTAAGGAACCCCAACCGTCCCAATTTTTGAAAGAATTCCCCATTCACTACCGGTAGCGAGCGTTCTAAGGAACCCCAATCGTCCCAATTTTTGAAAGAATTCCCCATTCACTACCGGTAGCGAGCGTTCTAAGGAACCCCAATCGTCCCAATTTTTGAAAGAATTCCCCATTCACTACCGGTAGCGAGCGTTCTAAGGGCCCCCAATCATCCATATGTATAATTGCTGCTTTTAAGATAGATAGCGTTCTAACAGGGAGCGACCGTCGCTCCCTCTTAGAACACTCACTACCGGTAGCGAGCGTTCTAAGGGAGGTTTCCTGTCGCTGGAGCACCCTCAATCTTGCGTTCTTCTCACTAAGACCCCAGCGAAAACACAAGATCATCCCTGGTCCGATGTTTGCCAACCCCCCCTTAGAACACTCACTACCGGTAGCGAGCGTTCTAACAGGGAGCGACCGTCGCACCCTGTTAGAACACTATCTATCTTAGGGAGCGTTCTAACAGGGAGCGACCGTCGCTCCCTCTTAGAACACTCACTACCGGTAGCGAGCGTTCTAAGGGCCCCCGATCATCCCAATTTTAGAAAAAATCAATTCAAACCCCAATTCACTACCGGTAGCGAGCGTTCTAAGGAACCCCGATCATCCCAATTTTTGAAAAAATCCACTCAAATCCCAATTCAGCTGCTGTTGCTGCTGTGATAGCTGAGTGGAAGCGTTGTGGGGTTTAAAGTATATATATATATGTGTATGTGTGGGTGACCCGATAAGATAGTATATATATATATACATAAACATATGGGGGTGACCCGGATAACATATTATATAAACTATAATTACATAAAATATATATGTAAATATGTGGGGGTGACCCGATAGAATAGTATATATATATATTATGTATAACCCTATAGCAACTATTCACCTATGATAAAAACACCACAGTATATATATATATATTATATATTACATATATATATATATGTTATATATATATATATCTGTACATTTACATTTACATATATCATATTTCTAAGCTAACTCACCCCAAAGTCAGGTCCAATTCCATTTCGACGGCTCTGTTCCACAGGCAGCGCTGAGTGGAGCATCGCACACCGGGCCACCGGGGGCCACCGGGGGCCACCCGCGGCCTCGGACCCATCATGGTTGGGGAAGATTTTCTGGACCTATCTACATGACATCCTACATGATTCTACATGTATAGTTCCCAGTTATACATTCCAATCATGACAAAAACCGAGTTTGATGGGATTTCCAATGATATATTCGTATATCTGGGGAATATCATGAAGGAAAATGTTCCAGCAACTCAATGCACTGGTTGTTTGGAGAACTAGTCTCTTCTGAGACTAGTCTTGGATACAGGATCATGATGGCTAGCGTACATTATATATATAATCAATTACAATCAATTACATACAAACACCATATATATGATATAAATTGATAAAATATAATGATAATGTATATAATACAATAATATATATAGTATAATAATAATAATATATATATATAATTATCTATAATATCATAATCATAATAGTATATATATATATATATATATAATAATAATATATAATAATAATATATATATGATATAATAATAATAATATATAATATGATTATAATATATATATAATATAATAATAATAGAGTTAATATTATGATAATATATAATATAATATCAATATATATATATGATATAGTAATAATAATATATATGATATAGTAATAATAATATATAAAATAATTATAATATATATTATTGTAATAATAGTATAATAATACATAATATAATTGCAATATATATATATATATAATGTAATAATATTAATATATATATATATATCATTCAATAATAATATATATTTAATAATGTATATATATAATTTACTAATAATGTATATACAATATAATATAATAATAATTAATAAGAATAAAACATATATATATATATAATAATAACAATATATATATAATATGATAATAATAATATATGTATATATATATATATTAATTATATATTTTTTTAGAAATATTTATTTATTATATATATTATATTAATAATATATATCTATTATATTTTATATTAATAATATATGTATATTATATATATATTATATTAATAATAATATATATATATATTATATTAATAGTACATATATATATATATATACTTATAAATATATATATATATATATGTAATATAGTAATAGTATTTATATTATTTAATTTAATGATATATATATATATATAATATAACTATATATATAATATAATTATATAATATAACTATATATATAATATTATTATATATATATATGATCTATGAATAATGTGTATATATATAACATAATGATAATATATATAATATGATAATATATATATTGTATTAATAATATTTATGTATAATATAATCATGATATTCTAATATAATATAATACATACACATACACACATACACACATGCATGCATGCATGCATGCATACATACATACATACATACAGACATGCATATAAACAATTATATATATATGCATATACAAATTTGCAATAGGTTTGCACACCTTACAGAATTGTATGCAATCCTCGTTTTGGGGTCAATGGTGGTTCATGGCCCCAATTTTTCGATTCAATTTTTGTGCCGGCCCCACCGGCTATCTCCGCGTGCTCTCAGCACGGTACTGAGAAATGCGCTTCTTTTCAGCAGCGAGCGTCGCGCTGAGCAGCCGATTCGGCTTTGGAAAATTGGGATTTTGCCGCTTAATTGCACGCGTCATTCCCATATTTTTTTCATATGAGCAGGTATGAGTCACAACTTAAAGATTCTTGGCACTCCACAACTGATTGGTCTATATTGACTCTGTACCATGAATTCTTGGAGGACAACGGTTGTCCATTTCCAGATGGGTCAAGTTTGATGAAGTTTCCAATGATTGCTTCTACCGTATATACCATATGGCCCAACTGGCTTTGTCTGAAAGTTTATGCGTTTCCACCCGAAATCCACTGGTTACTCATTATTTTCCTTTATTTTTCCACATTCTCCCCTATGAAAAGACCATTCCGGGTTATCCTCCTGCAGCTGCCAGGAAGGAGATTGCACGGCTGCTGGGGCATTTGCCCATGATACGAGAGGTGCAGCCTTAAAGGAAATGGTGCCAAGTAGGTGTAAATCCACCACTAAACTCACTAAAGCATAGTTTCTGAGGTTTCTGGGGGTGTCTAATATGGTGAGATTTTGCCCGACCCTCTGTTTTGGGTGCGATATCTTGAGCAACAACTACGTTTCGAGGCGCTGGAAAATGTCCCTTTTTGATGGGATTTCACATCACCTGTTCTGGGTCAATCTTGGTTGGATACTAACTAGTACCCTCTGGTAAACTAACATAGCAATTGAAAATGACCATTTATAGTGGATTTACCCATTAAAAATGGCGATTTTCCATAGTTACGTTAGTTTACCAGAGGGTACTTGAATCTTTTGCTATCAATGGTAAAATTAGTCAGAACCAGCGAGAAATAAAACTTTTTGCGAGGTATCTAAGATTCACCATGTATTGGGAAATATATCATCGAGTATCTGTTGGAAATCATATACCCTTTTTTTGTTGGATGATGTGAACAAATATGGACACACGTCCAAGCCATGTCGGGGGTGAAACTTTACCAATTCATCAACATGTCAGTTGGGGATATCCCATTGGTGATACCCCATTTGACATGGGTATATGGGTCAACTAATCAAGGCACCCCAACATCGATGATGAAGTTTTGCTTTTCATCTTGGTGTAAGCACTGTATTTAAGGATTTACATGGACTATACATGGATTTATGCAAAATAATATGAGCTTCTCATGTTGCCCAGTATCGCGAGCACTCCCACGGACGGGCGCTTTCAAGCCGCTCACAGGGAAGCTCAGGTGACGGACTCTTGGGGATGGTAAAAATTGATGTTTATTAGTGGGTTTGCTACAAAAAATACTCCAATAATTCATTATGTAAAGCCAAGATATTGGTGTTTATCCAACAATCATGTTTTCTTTTCATTATGTCGGAGACATTCATTTTCAGAAGGATCTAATTCATGAATAGATCCAATAGATCCAGGAATATGGGAATAGAATGGAATGGATTACCCAATGCAATTGGGGTAAGCTGGGACGCACTGTAGCTATGGGTGATCAGGATCATATCTTGAAACAAGAACGATCAACAATTTTTCGGGGTCAAACAACTGGCTACTCATGGCAATGAGACCATCTTGATCCATTTAGATCCATTTATCTGGGTCAATTTCATCACGACCTCACTGTTCTCCCTCACTAGGAATCATGGTTTTTATAGGGGAATCATCTCCAAACGGCCGCAAGATTCAGGTTAGTGAAACACGATAATTTACCCAGATTTATGGCCCAACTAACACCAACTAACAGTTATAACTGGAATGAAACAGTTATATATATATAATTATATATATATACACATATATTGATCCATTTATGTAGATTGATCAACATCAACACCTTGTCACGCTCCTTCCAATCTCCGCATCACCTAAAAGGATGGGCACCGAAGAAGCCGAGTTTGTCAGACGTTCTCCGAGTTTGGGAAGTTCACCCAGAGATATCGACCCGCTGCTTAAAAAAACACAGCGAAGTGTTTTTAAACCACCATTTTTAATAGGGAACTCATCTATAAATTTATCTAACAAGTTATAAAATTAGCCATTTTCCATAGCTCTGTGAAAAAACTGGAGAGTGTGCCATGGAACACCAATTTTTTCATCAGGTCAAGGACCCATGAGCGCTCGCTACGTGCCAAGGCCAGACGGGTGGCAACACTGTTCTGACATAGTTTCTGACATACCATCTGGAAGTATATATGGCATATTTATTCTGACATTCTAATGATATTCTTTCTGGCATTCTATCTGGCAAGGAAGGAAGGAAGGGGAAGGGAAGGGAAGGGAAGGGAAGGGAAGGGAAGGGAAGGGAAGGAAGTGAAGGGAAGGAAGGAAGGGAAGGGGGGGAAGGAAGGAGGGGGGGGAAGGAAGGAAGGGGGGAAGGAAGGAAAGAAGGAAGGACGGAAGGACGGGAAGGACGGAAGGACGGAAGGACGGAAGGTTGGAAGGAGGGAAGGAGGGAAGGACGGAAAGAGGGAAGGACGGCCGGAGGGAGGGAGGGAAGGAGGGAAGGAAGGAAGTAACTCTGATAAAATCTAGAGTCGAGACCCTCACCTGGCAGGTGGCGAACTACTTTAGAATGGGGATCTAATTAGGGAATTGTAGGGAATTCTTTCGAATTCTGAGGATGTATGTGGATGGGTCAAACCTATTAATTATTACCATATCATTGGGGGTAACCAGCTATGACTTAGTAAGGCTACCTAGGACACCGGGTTTTGACTCATGACCATCCTGTTTTCCCTGGGTCATTCATGGTCATTCTGTTGAAGTTCCAGGAAGCCGGCCGCCGATTTGATTTCTGGCCCAGCCCCCTAGCCCAGGCCGCCTATGGCACGCAAACAGGCAGGGTCGGCCTACATTTCCCATCAACCTTTCATGTTCACCCCGCAAACCACCCAACTTA